GGGGTCTGTTGTGACCTGCCAGCCCTGCCTTTGGTTCTCGAAGCTTCTGCGTTACAGAGTGCCCTCTGCCATCCCCATCACTTACGGGGCTAGGGGGCTGGGCAGGGCAGGGATGATGCAGAAGCCACTGAGGTGGGACCGCTTCTTGTGCGAGGAGGCCAAGGCCATGGGCTCAGGGGTTAGGCAGCTCATGCATGGTCACGTGCCAGGATCTGCACCCACATCCAACTCCCCAGGCTTTGCCCCTCTTGCAGGCAGCTTGCTGTGGATGGCAGCCAGGGAGTGCAGGTCCCCAGCAGCCTCCACCAGCAGGACAGGGCCTTGGGAGTAGGCAAGGGAGCCCCAGGAGTCCGACAAGGGGTGTGGCCCCCGCTCCTGCCGAGCTTGCGGCCTGTGGCTGTGTGCCGCAGGGACCAGCTCTGCGAATGGCCTCGGGCAGGGCGTGCCTGGTATCTCTGCACCCAGGCACCCAAGGGCAGTGCTCCAGACAGGAGAAGAGGAGGCCATGGAGTGTTGAAGGAGCGTCTGTCCCATCAGTTATCCCATTTGACTGTAGTGTGGGCCCGTGCAGCAGGTCCTGTTGACAGTGGCAGTTTATATGTGATGAGACCCAGGGCCTGGCCTGCGTCACCCAGCATGGCGTGGGTGTGGGCCCTGGATCCCATGGGGCTCTTCAACTCCTGTCCTTGTGACTGTGCCATTTCTCCCCATGACCATTCTCCTGGCTTCTGGACTTTGAGCTCAGCCTTCAAAGTATGGGCTTGATTTCCAAGTGGAAAAGCAACTTGGCTAGGCCAGGAGTCAGCCACATGTGGCCCTCCACCTGCTTCTCTACATAAAGTTTCCTTGCACATGGCTTCACCTGTACATGCACCTCTTGCGCATGGCAGCTGTGCTGAGTGGTCGCGACAGACGGTCTGGCTCCCACACTGGAAATACTCCCTCTCTGGCCCTTTATGGGAAGTTTAGCGTCAGCCGCGGCGCGGCCCCTACCGTGGCGCGCTGGCAGGGTAGCGGGGGAGGGGGCGCCGAGGGAGGGCCGAGCAAGCGCGAGTGCGCCGGGCTCCCGTCCTCCTACGCCTTCTTTCTTGCCTGCTCCACGTAGTGCAAGCCAGCCTCTCCCGCGCCCCCGACTGCCTCTGCCCAGCTCGTCTCCTTACCTGGCGTGGCGCCCCCGACGCTCCTGTCCTCTGCACTCTCCCTCCCCCATTCATTTGCTGAACTTCCCGCCGCCGCTGCCGGCGGGCGGGGGGAGCCTAAGCCTTCCATTCATTGTCGTACCAACACCCCCACCCCCAACTCCTGATCAGACACACCCGCCCCGCGAGCCCCGCGGCTGCCAGCTCCGGATCCCCACCCCCTCCTGCGCTCACCCCTGCGCCCGACAGCTTGCGGGGCTCGGGGGGGCTCCCCCGCATGTTGCATTTTCAATCTGTAGCTCTTCTCTTCCCACTTGAAAAGCTCTGGGAAGCATCGCGGGACCGGCAGAACTCCTGAAGGGTGACTTCTCTCTCCAACCTTCCAGAAGATGCAGCTTCGCCCCCCGCAGCCCTTAACTGGAGTCTGCAAAGAACGAAGAGCCGACTTGGCAGCTAGAAAGGTGCATGAGCTTCTATTTCTAGTTTTTCGATGGAGTGGAGCTACAGACCAAAGCAAGTGTGATTCTGCTCCCCTAGTTCTCCATATCCATGATTATAAATTTCTCTTCCGCTTTCCCAGTGTAACTCTGCAAGTGCAAACTATCAATTTTCGTAAGGGTAATTAAGGGCGGGGAATGCACACCTGGAGGTGTGGGCGGGCGCGGCGCGGGACTAAGACCCAGGGATCACTGTCAGGAGAGTGGCAGCCACAGGGATTCGCCCAGGTCCTAGAACACCCATTCAGTTGGGGGCTCTCCTGCCTCGCCACCCGGCCTGGCCACCTCCCACCCCTGACTTCCCAGGATTTCCGGAGTAATCGGAATTCTCTGCCTCTTGCTCCACCACTAAGGCCATTGCGTACCAAAAGTGGCTGCTTGGGGGTCAAAGTTTAGTGAGCTCTCGCCTGAAATGGCACAGAGGATGGCACAAGGGCAGTAAGGCAAGGGGACTCGGCAGGACTGATACGACCACACCTAAGAGAGAAATTCAGGATAGCGAAGGAGGGCTGCATGGTGATGGTCACCAGTAATCTGGGGTTTCACAGAAGGGAAGGGTCACTGTAAACCGCAGTGGGCGGGGAGGGTAAGATTTCTTGAAGTGGATGGAAACTTTTCAAACCTCTGGTGAGTTATGCTTTGAGGGGACCATGATCATCTCCCGCCAGAGACTGCTCCGAACCTTGACCAAGTTCATGTGTTTTCACAGGATGCTTAAGGCTGAGCCCTGGCTGCCAGTCATTTACTATCTAAAGCTGTTTCCTTTTAAAATAATCATTCGAATTCCTTTTTTAAATCAACTCTTAACAACTCTGCTTTCTCTCCTTTCCTACCAATTCATGATTTATTTTACAATAATCTACTTAAAGTGTGAAAAAATAAAATTTTAATACATGCACAGTGTTAATATGTTCATGTACAACATGCAGAAATGCATATAAATACAGATATGTATGAATATAAAGCCACTTCATTATCTCAAGTAATGATAGACGTGATCTTAAACTGTAAGAAATATTATATAGGGACAAATAGGAAAATGTGCCCTATAAAATCTAGGTATCATAAAAAGTATATATTGGTAAGAAAAGAATAATGTACTTGAAAGGAGCTTTCACATATTTTTAACCATAGCTCCACTCAATTCAGAAAAATCACTTTTTACCTAATTTTCCTGTCTCCATCTTACTCCACACTCTCTTCACTGTTAGATTTCTCAATACCAATACTTCTTTATCTATTGAAAATAACTTTTTAAAATTAATTTCTATGGTTAGCCTTTACCTATAAATCAAAAGTAAAGTACAAATGAGTTTCTCACCTACCGCTCAGCTTGAATATTTTTAATTCATTGATTTTGTCTCTTACCTTCTTAAGGAATCCAATTGCTTCTGCTTCAACTATATATTAACTGCCTTAACTACCCTGTGGCCCATTCCAACATGAAATGAGGTCTGTCCATACAAGCCACATGTATTCAAGAGTAAGTAATTAGCTGTTAAACACTTTATTTCCTCTTTATTTGGTCTACCATGGCCTCAAATGAAATGGAGGACAAAATTAAAGGTCTGCCTAGACAAACCTGTCTTCCTAACAGGTGTGGACCTGTCTGAGACTACTTCTGCTGCCAGCTTTAGGTCAATAACTTTACAATCAAATGCAGGTTGTGTGTTCAGTGTAAAAGGAAAGAGAAAATGAAATACAATACAGAATCCAGTGCAGCACATAGATTTATTCATCAAAACTAGTGTTGTGTTCCAAATGAGCCCATTTTCTCATCTGTAAAATGGGATAAAGATACTAGTACAGTCTATTTTACAGGGTTTTAAGTTGTCTTTGTCAAAATAAGATAATATATCTGAATGGGCTTCTTAAAACACTAATGAGGATGATGTTGTTTAATGGAAATGAAGGAGGATACCTTAATAATGTCATTGTCATTTGGACTTATTCCCTTTCTTGGATGGTCTTCCTGGGTGCTTTCTGTCCTAAACCTTTCTCTCCTATCCTCTGCCAAGCAATGTTTCTCTAGATTTCTTTAAATGGCTTCAGCAAAGCCAAAGGCCAAAAGAGAGCTAGTGCTGTCAAACCCAAGAAAAAAACATTCTCAGCAAAATAAAGAGAAATTTTGATAAGGAGTATTTCACGCAGTTTTTACATTAATATCTTAAAGGATACCATGGACTTTGTCAGATTATTGATGTTACCTTGTGGTCTAAGGACTATAATTTGAGAAGCATTTGGGATTGAAAAATTGGCTGTCACTGACTTTGACACTGTTATTTGCTCCAAAAGAGTTTCCAGTCATGCCAGTTCTCTCTCTCTCTCTGTATTCCCTCCCCCTTGGCAAAAAGTCTTTGAAATTTTCTACTAGAGAGTAATCAAAACTATCAGCAAAAAGATCTGTTGGAAACTTTCCCTCCAGTCTATTAATGCAGAGACTGATTCAATGAATACATTTTGGTGAAACAATACCCTGAGAGAATTCAGCCTGCTTGAGAAAGTTTTTTAGATGTCCCCAGGTATAGGTTCCTTCCTTCTTAAAATGGGGTATTTGTGCCATTCCCGTGTTTTTTTCTTTGGCTATAAAAAAAGCATTCTCCTTAAGAAACCTTTCTATTTTAAAAGGCCGGTGGCAGAGGTGGGTGGGGCAGTCCAATTTAGTAAAAAAAAGAACACTTTTCAGGGTAGAAGTGGCTTAAGAAGACTCCAGGAATGGGAAATAGAATTTGGGTCTGGGTGTACAGCAACCTCCTGTAAGGACTAGGCTGCAATGAAAGTCCCCAACAGAGTGACCCTGTGCTCACCTTTTTTTATCACATAAATCTGCATGAATAATGTGAGTAATGTCTGAAGTAGATCAAGGGCCAGCAAGTCCTTTTTCTGCAGTCTCCCTCATCCAAGTAAAATAGCTTAGATTTAAAACAAAGGGGGAAAAAAGAAAATGAAAAAGAAAAATACATATGCATGTGTTATACATACAGTTTTAGAGCTAAAAATAGACCTGGATACAAAGAAATCAACAAACAAAAAGCTAATTCTATAAAACAGTAATAAAATAGGTAAATTTCTAGTAAAACTGACAATGAAAAAAGAGAAAAGAAACAAGACTATGAATGTGGAGATTTTAATGATAGTTTTAGTGGAAATTATTAGTAGCATATTCATCATTACAAAACATAGTCATTGTTGTGTCCATTAACCAAATTTTCGCTAACTCCCCTCCACTTCCCCCTTTCCCAA